GAAAACAAATCAAACAATGAGGTGGGCAGTGATGAGAAAAAACAAAAACTCAAACAATAACCAGGAGATGCAGGAAACATACCCACGGACAGGCATAAAAGTCTGAAATGCTTATATAGAAATGCTCAAAGCTTGGGGAACATACAGGGCGAACTAGAAGCAATCGTATATGAGGGAGGGTAGTTGGCATTACAGAAACCTAATGGGATGAAGCCCATGAATGGAATGGACTGTTGGATAGATACAAATTGTTCAAAAGAAACAGGTCTACAAAAAGAGGAGGTGGAATTGCACTATACGGTAGTGGCCAAAATTGTGGAAATCTTTTGGGAATAGTGTACAGTAGAAATGCTACCTTTGGTTAAGTTTCCACCAATTTTTCTTCTAATTTCTTTATAACTGTAGTCTTGTTCACTTAATAATACTATTTTACATCATTTTCTGGGCAACCAGTCAACTCTTTGCACCATTACTTTAATTTTATTATGTTTTACAAGCTCACTAAATGAAAGAACACAAAAAAACCCAACCAACTTGATAGTGATCACAAAACACACTGACAAATGTCCTCCTCTCAGCTTCAATACATGACATCAATAACTGAATCCTACTGTGATCTGATTGGCTCATTGCCAAAACAAGATGACACCTGATTGGCTCTCTAAACACTCATGCTCATTGGCTACAATCAGATGAAGGAAAGCTACCTGATATCAGCCTAAGCAAGTTGTGCTTCCTTTTTCTGGTTATTTGACTATAACTTTTCATAGAATACAGTACAGATAATTGAGCAAACTTTGTTGCATTACATTCCTGATTAAATTATCTTTCCATTAATATATAATTTTACGGTACTACTCCAAAAAAAAGGTAGTGTTATTGGCCATCAAACCTCAAAAATACACTTTTCCCAAAAGGTTTCCACAATTTTGGCCACTACTGTATGTAAGAGAACACTACATATTTACAGAAATGCACATGATCTAAGATAAAATCTCTCCAGAATGTAAATGGGTCAATATAAAACAGAAAAAAAGTGACATTGCCATAGGTCTATGTTACAGGCTACCCAACCAATCAGAAGAAATAGATTAACTCTTTGCCAATCAGTTAACAAACGTATGTAGGAAGCATACCATAGTAGTAATAGGAGACTTCAACTATCCAGATATCAACTGGGAGACAAACTCTGCAGCAAGCAGGAGATCAAACAGATTCCTAACCAACCTAGCCGACAACTTTGTCATCCAAAAGGTGGAGGACGGAACTAGATGTAAAGTTATACTGGACGTAATTCTTATTAATAAAGAAGAAATGATAGAGGGAATTGAAGTTGCCGGAACCCTGGGTGAAAGTGACCACGTCATACTGGAAATCAATATAATGCAAACACTAGCAACAGAAAACAATCCAGCCAGTGTCTTAAACTTCAAAAGTGCTGACTTTAACAAACAGAGAGAACCTAGGAAAGATCCCATGGATGAAAATCCTAAAGGGGAAAATAATCCAAGAAGTGTGGGAAACTCTGAAAAATGCTGTGGACATAGTATACTTAGAGTTCAGTAAGGCATTTGACAAAGTAGCCTACAATCTACTCTTTGGTAAGCTAGAAAAAGGTGGAATAGACAACATCACCACCAGATGGATCTATAGTTGACTGGCAAACCGTACTCCATGAGTACTCTATGGTACTACATCCATATGGAGAGAAGTAAGCAGTGGTGCACCACAAGGTTCCATCTTAGGCCCAGTACTCTTCAATATCTTCATCAATGACTTAGATGAGAGAATTGAAGGGGAACCCATCAAATTTGTAGATGACACCAAACTGGTAGGAGTAGCCAATACCCCAGAAGACAAACCAAGGATCCAAAAAGATATTGACAGACTTGAACAATGGGCTCTATCTAACAAAATGAGTTTCAACGTGGAGAAAAGCAAATTCTTACATTTAGGCAGGAAAAATCAAAGGTACAAGTACAGATTAGGCAAGACCTGGCTTAAAAACAGTAACTGTGAGAGGGACCTTTGAGTCCTAGTGGACGATCACTTGACTATGAGCCAGCAGTGTGCGGCAGCTGCCAAAAAAGCTAATACAATCCTGGGTTATATAAACAGAGGCATAGAATCAAGAACACGTGAAGTATTAGTACCGCTTTATAAAACCCTAGTAAGACCATACCTGGAATACTGCAGCCAATTTTGGTCACCATATCACAAAAAAGTTGAGAGTCTGGAAAAAAATTCAGAGAAGAGCAACTAAGATGATCAAAGGCTTGGAAACTAAACATATGAAGAATGGCTGCAGGACTTGGGTTTGGCTAGTCTAAAGAAAAGAAGAAATAGGGGAGACATGACAGCAGTATTCCAGTATTTGAGGGGCTGCCACAAAGAAGAGGGGGTCACGTTATTCACCAGAGGACAAGAAACAATGGTTGGAAACTGATCAAAGAGAGAAGCAAACTGGAATTAAGGAGAAACTTCCTGACAGTGAGGACAATTAACCAGTGGAACAGCTTGCCTCCAGAAATCTTGGGAGTTCCATCACTGGAGATTTTTAAGAAGGGGCTAGACAGTCACTTGTCTGAAATGGTATAGGACGGTTCTCCTGCTTGAGCAGGTGGCTGGACTAGAAGACATTCAAGGTCCCTTCTATTCTATTCTATTCTATTCTATTCTATTCTATTCTATTCTATTCTATTCTATTCTATTCTAACATTTGCGGACATTCAACTCTTAATAGATGGTGTGCTGTGAAGGAGTATTCCATTCATCTGGAACAATGGGCTGTCTCCTCCAAACCAAGGATGTCTCCTGTTCTCATGACTGAATGCTGAGTAGATGTTTGATGCTTTATGAACACGCAGCCATTAACTATAATTTAGTTTGGAGGGTTGTGCTATTATTGTTATATTTCAAACTGTTATGTTTTTAATTATTGCATTACATCTACAGTCCCTTTGAACAGAGGTGGTAGATAAATCTTGATAGGATAAGAAGGAGGGAGGGAGGGAGGAAGGGATGAAAGAAGGAAGGAAGGAAGGAAGGAAGGAAGGAAGGAAGGAAGGAAAGAAAGAAAGAAAGAAAGAAAGAAAGAAAGAAAGAAAGAAAGAAAGAGAAAGAAAGAAAGGGACAGTTCAATCTGACCATCAGAAAGACCTCTCCACTCCATATAATACTATTCCTCCGCCCTTAGATAAATTAATTCATAAATTAAATTCATTTATATTCAAAGTAAATTAATATTCTCTAAAAATGCTTCTACCAATATCAGGTTTCATTTCTGCTATCAATATTAAGTATCAATCCTGCACTTTCACCCTAAGGTTCTTCTCTACAATTTTTTGGGTAGAGCACATATCCTGTTTGGGTGAAGCCTGACCCAAAAAAGGAGTTGAGTAATTCAGCCTTTTCTGTTTTCAGGTAATATTTTGACATCTTCAGTGAGTAGATGGTGTATTGATTCATTGGTTTTCCTCTTATTTTGAATATCCTTTATCTGAATAAGCTTTTTATATTGTTGCTCTTGGCATCCTACACCAACCTCAACTCATATTAAGCTTCCTGATATCACTTCTACAATTTAGCCTACTTCTACCAGTTACTGACCTCTTTTCCATTTCCAGTGTATGTCCATTTTTGTTTTCAAAACTTCACAGAGATTTTTGGGCAGCTACCCACATGACTTCCTCTATCTGGTTTTCTTTACTGAAACTATTTGATGTTTATTACTTAATTACCACCTGCCTTGAACTCCTATTCTCTTAAGATTCTTTTGCCAAAAAGTCCAACTATCATTACCCTGAATTTATTAGATGTTTTTGTACCACTAGATATGTATTTGGCTGAATTCAGTCCATATTTAAAGGAAATATAATATCTGGGTTGTAAATGTAGATTGAAGAGGCCACAGCAGTTACATATCAGAGTGCATTTTCCCTATGGAAAAGGAGCCAAGATCCAGTTCCTGCCCATAGCTGAGATAGACATCTATGAAATGTTTGTAGATTAATTTTGGATCTGTTTGTTTTCTGCTTATAACCACAATAATGGCTGGATTGGTGATGCAGGAGGGGGAGAATGACATATTGAAAAAATGCATCAGCCATACAACACATTATTCAATAGCATCTCTATCCAGTGATTGGAAAAGTTTCATATATTCAGTATCTGCTTGACTGTTTGATATGTGCTAGAATATTCACTATCCCAGGACAAACTGAAGAACTTTTTGGATGAGAAGCGAGACATTTTCAAAGAAAAAACCAAGAAAGTCCAGTTGACTTTTGGAAAAAAGCACCTTTGGGATAACCATGACCTGGATGATTGAGAATCTCCATAGACATCCAAGGACAAAGTTGATCTGAAAGATGAAAGCAGATTTAGTTATGCAAATCCTGGCATGTTGGTTCTGGCAGAAAGTAGGGGGCGATGCCATAACCGATGAAGCTTCTAGGGTGAGGTGTGAAATGTCTTCTTCCTCAAGGGAAAAAACAATCCAGTTGCCTTTTGAAAAAGCACCTTTGAAGCAACTGTCACCTGGATGTCTGAGAATCTCCACAGATGTTTCTATATATACTTTTACAGCACAATCATAACAAAAGTCATAGTTCATACATTCCAGGGACAACCCTTTTTCTCTAAATTGAAAGCTATTAATATATTATCTTGATATGACAAAAGACACCAAGACTGTATAACATTTTGTTCTTTTGAAAAGAAGCACGCACTATTCGATACTCTAGAATAAATGCCCTACTCAAAGGAGTTTCATAAACTCAGTGCTCCATTTTACTTTACACACAAGGTGGTGCTATTGCACCAAACAGTAAAAAAAGAGAGATTCATTTATTTCAGGATGATCTAGTCATTAGACAAAGGAATCTCAGAACAAAAGGCAACAGCTCTCAACTGAGAAATATCCAAAGAAAATATTCCAGCATGAATACCAAAAAATAACTCCTGCTGGATTCTGATAACAACTATAAAAGAAATTGTAGGAGCTGCTTCACGAAGAATCATATTCCCAGAGAGAGGCTGAGAAAATGGAAGTATCTCCTCCTAGCAGGCAAGTGGTCTTGTTCTTTATTTCTCTATGTAGCTCTGGTATGTTGTGTGAACCGTTCCGCTATTCAGTGCCTGAGGAGAAGAAAGCTGGATCAATGGTAGCAAATGTGCTTAAAGATTTGAAGGTAGATGTGAAGGAGCTCTCTGCTCGCAGAGCACAGTTGATTTCTAAGAGTTCCAGGCAGGATTTCCAGCTGGATCCTCACTCTGGGAATATAATATTAAGGGATAAAATTGACCGAGAAGCTTTGTGTGGTCTGACTGATCCTTGCACTCTATTCTCTGAAATTGTGCTGGAAAATCCTTTGCAAGTGTTCAAAATTGAAGTTCAGGTAGAAGATGTCAATGATAATTCCCCTACCTTTTCTCAGAATCAATTCCTTTTTGAAATACCTGAACAGACCCCCATAAATGCACGTTTCCCTTTGGAGACAGCCCATGATTTAGACAAAGGGGAAAATGCTATCCAGAACTACATAATAAGCACAAGTGAATATTTTAAGCTGGACGTGCAAAGTCAAAATGATGGCAGCAAATATGCAGAACTGCTTTTGGCAAAGCCATTAGATCGCGAGGTGATCCCTCAGTTTATCCTCACTCTGGAAGCCGTGGATGGAGGGATCCCAAGGAGAACTGGCACAGCACAGATAATTATTGATATTCTGGATAACAATGATAACGTGCCCCAATTTGAACAAGCAGTCTATAAAGTGCAGTTGATGGAAAGTAGTCATCCAGGCTCATTGGTTGCTAAAGTTGAAGCCACTGACAAAGATATTGGAGTCAATGCTCGCATCATTTACACTTTTAGCCAGGCACCAGCACATGTGCTTCAATCATTCAGCTTAAACAACCATACTGGGGAAATTACACTTGTAGCGAAAATTGATTATGAAATAAACAGTAAATATCAACTCAGTATCAAAGCCACAGATGGAGGAGGACTCTCCACTTACTGCAAAGTTCTTGTTGACATTGAAGATGAGAATGACAATGCCCCAGAAATAGTTGTATCATCCATCACTAATCCTTTACCAGAGAATTCTCCCCCGGAAACGCTAGTGGTACTTTTTGGCATCAGAGATCAAGACTCTGGAGACAATGGCAGAACTACCTGCAACATTGACAAAAACCTGCCTTTTATACTAAAACTGACTGAGAACAATTATTACCAGCTTGTGACTCAACAGCCATTGGACAGAGAACAAATGTCACAATATAACATCACCATCACAGCCACTGACCAAGGTTCTCCCAGACTCACTTCAATGACAGTTATTAGCATTCAACTTTCAGACATCAATGATAACCCTCCAATGTTTGAAAGATCTTTCTATGATTTGCACTTGAGAGAAAACAACATTCCAGGACTGCTCATTGGATCAGTCCACGCTGTGGATGTGGACACAGAACAAAATGCCAAACTGACCTATTGGCTTTTACCTGGGAAAATCAGGGATGTCCCCGCATCATCTTACATCTCCATCAACTCCAAAACCGGGAACCTGTATGCCATCCGATCTGTGGATTATGAGGATATACAAGATTTCCAGGTGATGGTGAGGGCTGTAGACAAGGGCTCGCCTCCACTGAGCTCAGAAACCATGGTCCGAGTTCTTATCAGAGATGAGAATGACAACGCCCCCTTCGTCCTCTGCCCCCTTCAGAACAGCACTTCTCCATCAAAGGAGCTGGTTCCCAGGGGAGCAGAGACAGGCTACCTGGTCACCAAAGTGGTGGCAACGGACAGGGACTCAGGGCAGAATTCTTGGCTTTCCTATCAATTGCTGAAGGCCACAGATCCGAGTCTCTTCGCTGTTGGGACTCAGAATGGGGAAGTGAAAACCATGAGGCCGGTGAACATCCGAGACACTTTCAAACACACTCTTATTGTGGCAGTTAGGGATAACGGGCATCCGCCTCAGTCTGTCTCTGCAACCCTAAGAATTCTTCTAGTGGACGGCTTCTCTGATCCGTACATGAAAATTATGGATAATCCTAAGAGTGAAGTCCCGCAGGAGGAAGATCATACTCTAACCATGTATTTGATTATCTGCTTGGTTGCCATCTCATCCATTTTTCTGCTTTCTGTCATGGTGTTTATTGCCACCAAGTTTCAGAAGCGAAGGAAGTTCATAGGAAGTTCTCATTCTGCATCTAATTTCCCCGTGGGACCAAGTTTACAAGACAAGTGTGTGGATCCTAATACTGGGACACCTTCCCAGGCCTTCAGCTATGAGGTATGCTTAGCGGATGGATCTCTGAGCAGTGAGTTCAAGTTCCTTAGGCCTTTCTTTCCTGTTTTTACTATGGAGCATCGAAAAACTCTGCTGAATCCACAGATTAGAAATGATTGCCGCGATCTTCCTAATCAATTGGAGGAAAGAGAGGATATATCCCAGGTGAGAATAATTATTAATGCAATTAATTTATAAACATATTTGGTTTGAATGATTCAGAAATAATTAAGTTTAAAAAATGGAAGAGTGCATATTAAAGTACATTACCATGAATTTCCAGAGAACTAGTTCTTTTAGGGTAATATACTGACAAATCTGTATTGGTTTTACATGTATTTTAATTTCTACATGGGTATTTATCCTGCACTGTCGAATATAATTTGGTAGGTGAGAAGTTATGAAATACATATTGCTTTAAAATAAAACCATACAATTTTCCAGGAAGGAAACAATTTGTGAGGTTTTTGAAATTTGGAAGCTACAGCTGGTGCAGCATGCGGTGGCATGGGCAATTCTTGGGGCCTGAAGGATGGCCCACGTAACACCACCGCTCCGCATGCTCATTTGCCTGCCTGTCTGCTTCCAGGACCAATTCAAGGAGTTGGTAATCACCTTTAAAGTCCTTCATTGCTTGGGTCCAGGCTATCTGAGGGACCGTCTTATCCCACTGGGGTTGGCCCATTCCACCCATGCCAGCAGAGGAGGCATACTGCAGGCCCCATCAGCCCGATTGTTCCAGCTAGTAGGGTCCAGGAGAAGGGCCTTTTCTGCGGTTGCACCTGTCTTCTGCAACATCTTGTCCCCTGGTGTGAGGTCAGCCCCAATCCTCCTATCCTTTTATAAGGACCTAAAAACCTCGCTGTGCCAATTAGCTGGGGGGTCCCAATTGGGGAGCATCACAACGGGGGTGGTTGATCGATTAACAACAGATTCTACCTCCCCCACATCCTGACTCTATCCCCCCCCCATTTATAATTAGATCATAGTGTTTGTGGGTATTAATTTATTTATGTTTTATACATACATACATACATACATACATATATATATATATATATATATATATGTATGTGTGTGTATATATATATATATGTATATATGTATATATATATACATACATACATACATACATACATACATACATACATATTCTCTGATTGTAAACTACCAAGAGTTAGCAATAGATAGCAATAGCAGGTAGACTTATATACCACTTCACAGTGCTTTATAGCCATCTCTAAGCAGTTTACAAAGTCATCATATTGTTCCCAACAATCTGGGTTATCATTTTACCGACTTCGGAAGGATGGAAGGCTGAGTCAACCTTGAGCCGGTGAGAATCGAACTGCTGAACTGCTGGCAATCAGCAGAATTAGCTGCACTCCTGCATTGTAATCACTGTGCCACCTCGGCTCAGTTACCTTGTGGTAAGACAGCAGCCAATAAATTTTATTTATTTATTTATATGTTTTTTTTTTCTTTTTACAACTGTGTAATCCCTTCATTTGGGACAATGTTGGGGTGACTGAATGCAACCGAGCATATACTGGCCAGATGCCCTTCCTGACACCTACTCAGAGTTTGCAGCAGATATTTTATCTTTGTGCCCCGATAGAGAAACATTTGTCACTGCTTAGGATTGAACAATCAACCTTCTGAATGGGAGGCAAGCATCTTCATTTGTAGGGCACCACGCTGCTCTAATGAATTTTATAAATAAAAAATAAAACTTTGCAGGGGGTTGAATGGGTGTTTGAGGGAAGGAATGTGGACTGAGTGAAAAATTATTTAAATGAAATTTGAGCACATTGATTAGAAACAGAAGGGTTTATAATGCAACTCATGATCAAGGCTTAACTCTGATTGGTGGAGAGTGATACAAGTGATTTAATGCTTAAGCAGATCAGGATTTGGGAAATGTGTGGTAAAGACACTCAGAAAGGAATGTAACAAACAATTACTTTTCTGAAACAATAAGGTAGAAAGGTGATCTTGGGCCAATCTCTCTCTCTCTCTCTCTCTCTCTCTCTCTCTCTCTCTCTCTCTCTCACACACACACACACACACACACACACACACACACACACCCCACAGAAAGAGATAACATAGATAATAAATCATAAGACACAATCATAAATCATAGGATATAATCAATTGATTATATCATAATATACCATTAGCAGAAAGAACAGGATTACACCCTTTATTAATAATTTTTGTGCAGATTGTTACTCTGTTTTTTTCTATATAATTAGATAGTTCCTAAGATAATTTGCTAGTGGATAGATAAAAATGGATTTAATGTAAGTATTGTCTAAACAATGGAAATATAATTTTTTCCTAGTTCACCACATGGTGGCGATATTAACAAAGAAATCTAGTCTACTTCCTCATCAGGGCAGACAGTAATACAAAATTGAACAAAAGGAATCTGACTCTTTTTGCGATGAGACATATGCAGACTATAAAATGGCAAAAGACTGAACAATTCAAAATGATTTGCTCAACTAAATCATAAAGAAAGGAAAGAAAGACTGACTGTTGGGCAAAATTTGAGCCTACAAGGAAGAGACTGGAATCATGGAGAATTGCTTTTGGAAAAGACAAGGTCTGTATGTCCTTCTCTCTTTCTCATTCCTTAGAGTAATGTGTGCTTCAATTCGCTTTTCTGTCCCTGAAGAAAAGAAAAAAGGGTTTCTGGTGGCTAATGTGCTCAAGGAATTGAAACTGGAAGCAGGGGAGCTCTCAACCCGCAAAGCACATTTAGTTGCTGAGGGCACTCAGGAATACTTCCACCTTGATATTCAGACTGGGAATCTGTTGATTAAGGATAACATAGACAGAGAAGCTTTATGTGGCCAGAATGATCCTTGTGTACTTCTATCTCAGTTTGTTCTGGAAAACCCCTTAGATATCTTTAATATTGAAATCAAGATAGAAGATGTGAATGACAATGCCCCCAAATTTTGGAAAAACAATGTGGAGATAGACATTCCTGAAAATATTCCTATAAGTATGATATTTCCCTTGGAATTAGCCCAGGATGATGACTTAGGAGATAATAGCATCCAAAATTATATTCTCAGTCCCAATGAGCATTTTCAGCTTGAAGTACACAAGAACGAAGACAAAACTGATAATATATATCTTGTTTTGAAGAAACCATTAGATAGGGAGGAGATGCCACACCTTGGATTGACTCTAATGGCTATTGATGGAGGAGTTCCAAAGAAAACAGGCACAGTTCAAATTAAAATTAATGTTCTGGATAATAATGATAACTTTCCTCTGTTTAGCAAGTCTGAATATAAGGCAAGAATAAAGGAGAATCTGCCTCAGGGCACTCTTGTGGTTAAGGTGGAAGCCACAGATCTGGATTTGGGTTCAAATGCACTGATCCTCTACTCATTCCATCAAGTACCGGAAAGAATAAACAATTTGTTCAATTTAAATGAGAGAACAGGAGAAATCACGGTTTGGGGTCAGATTGACTATGAAAAAGAAAAAAGTTACAGCATGAATATCAGAGCAACAGATGGAGGGGGTCTCCCGGATCACTGCAAATTACTAATAGAGGTTGAAGATGTGAATGACAACCCCCCAGAAGTGTCCATCATATCTCTGACCAGCTTTTTAAAAGAGGACTCTCCCCCAGACACAGTGGTGGCTGTCTTCAATATTAGAGATCAAGACTCTGGAGACAACAGCAAAATGGTCTGCTCCGTGGAGATGAACCTTCCTTTTGTGCTCAAAAGCACCGCAAACAACTTTTATCAGCTTGTGCTCCAAAGTCCCCTAGACAGAGAGACAGTCACTGAGTACAACATTACCATCACAGCCATTGACTGTGGCTCTCCTAGGCTTACTTCAACAAGGCTGATTAATGTTCAGATCTCCGATGTCAATGATAACCCTCCTCTTTTTGAAAAGTCTTCATTTGACATGCAGATCCGGGAGAATCATATTCCAGGCTTGCTCATCGGCTCAGTCCACGCTGTGGATCTGGACACAAAGCAGAATGCAAAAGTAACTTACTCAGTTCTGCCTGGGAAGGGTGGTGGCCTTTTGCCCACTCTCATTTCGATCAACTCTGAAACTGGAAACCTGTATGCCCTCCGATCCCTGGACTATGAGCAGATCAGAGGCTTCAGAGTTACTGTGAGGGCCTCTGATGGTGGTTCTCCTTCCCTGAGCTCAGAAGTGATTGTCCGCATCCACATCATAGATGAAAACGACAACGCTCCCTTCTTCCTGTATCCCCTCCAGAACAACACATCCCCATGCAATGAGCTGGTTCCCAAGTCAGCCGAGACCGGCTATCTGGTCAGCAAGGTGGTTGCAGTGGATGCAGATTCTGGCCAAAACTCTTGGCTTTCCTATGAATTGCTGAAGGCCACGGACCCAGCCCTTTTCAGCATAGGAGCGCAGAATGGGGAAGTGAAAACCAGGAGAGCCCTGAATGAGCGAGACACAAACAAGCAGAGGCTGGTGATTCTGGTCAGAGACAACGGTCTTCCTCCCCAGACCAGCACGGCGTTGCTTAATGTCCTTCTTGTGGATGGCTTTTCGGATCCCTTCCTGAGGAGGGTGGATGTCAGTGTGCAAGAACCGGAAGAAGATAAAACCTTGACCAAGTATTTGGTGATCTGCTTGGCTGCTGTCTCCTTTGTGTTCCTGGTCTGTATTGTTGTGTTTATTGTGGTCAAAATCCTCAAGAAGGACCCCCAAAGCCATTTTACTGCAGCTGTTCCTCACTTCCCACCCGCCAGTGCTGATGCCCCAGAGAACTGTGCAGATTCACAGAATGGGTCGCTTTCCAGGACTTACCGTTATGATGTTTGTTTGACTGGTGGATCCTTAAGTAGTGAATTCCGATTTCTCAGGCCTCTCTTTCCTGTGCTGTCCTGTCCTGTCGGAGATGTTAATATCCCAGGCAACCACTGGACTTCTTCTGGCCCCGAAGATTTATCTAAGGAGGTTGCAATTAATGGGAGAACGAAAGAGGTGAGGAAAAACATGCAATTAATTCAGGCTCTTTCTATTTATTCTCCCTCTGTTTGTTTTGCTCTATCGGTTATCCTTGAACTCCATGCTTGTTATTTATTTAAAAAACAGGCAATTTTACTTTAATGTTAATTGCGAGCATAGATCACAGTTCTTTTACAGATAGTCAGTCTTTGGTTAACAGCTACTCCTTTAGCAAACATTGGTATTATAATGCGCTGAATGGTAGTTACGACTGGTCCTAGACCTTCCAGCTGTCCTGGAACCTCCCTGATCGCTTGATTCTGATCTGGGCACTTGGCAACCATCTCACACTTAGGATGGTTCTGCATCCCATGGTCATGTAATTTGCAACCTTCGCTGCAGGTTTCCCACAAGCAATTTCAATGGGGAAGCTGGCAGGGAGGGTTGCAAACTGCTCGGGTAAGTCTTACCTGGCTGCATACATTCCCCCAGCCTTTCTGCAGTCACACTGCACCTTGCCAATCACCCACACACCCTTGCACACTCTCCCCAGGCCTCACTGTGCTCCTGCTGTGTGTCCTGCCCATTTGCAGTCTTGGTGCACTCCAGGAAGAAAAAATTATAGTGACAGCTATGGGGGGGAAGGGAGTGATCTGGAAGCAATAACTATTAGGGTAATTAATGGTATTGAACACAACAAATGTAATTGCAGGACTGATTTGAAAGAAGTTTCATTTATAAAATTATCAAGGTCAAAGAGGAGAATGGATCTAGATATAGCATAATATACATGTACATGTAGATATATATATGAATTATAAAGAGTATCGGTATTTTGGAGCGGTACAAGTAGGTTGTAGAAATATTCTAATCAGTTTCCAACCATTGTTTCTTGTCCTGCCCTCTGGTGCTTTGGTGAATAACGTGACCCCCCCTCTTTTTTGTGGCAGCCCCTCAAATACTGGAACACTGCTATCATGTCTCCCCTATTTCTTCTTTTCTTTAGACTATGCAGCCGTTCTTCATATATTTTAGTCTCCAGGCCTTGCTAACTCTTGCATTGCTAACTCTTAATTGGTTTGTAACCAATTTCAATTCCAACATTTTTTGAAAGTCTTTATTACTATGGGGCTGTCAAATTGTAGCACTGCGACATCCAAAAGTTATAAATGAATTTCTGCAAAACTTCATTCAAAATAAAACTAATTATTTAATTGTAGTTAGGGTTGGGCAAGAAATGAATAACCACATACTTTTAATTTAATTTAAACTTTAATCACTTTATCACAGGAGTTCTCTTTGCAGTTGTGGATTCTGCAGTCAAAGCCAGGGGTTAGGCTCAGAGCAAATGCTGATAGTAGTATCATTTTGTCAAGACAAGGTTGCCCTCTATATTCCTTTAAATTTCTTTGAGTTGCAATCCAGTTTGAGAAACCATGAAGCTCTAGTATGAAACCCGTTATTAGTTAACCTTAGTCCTTTAGAACAGTGCATGCCATCTTGGAAAGGACAACTTTTCATCACTCTTGTGTCTCTATACTCTACTCCAAGCACGTTACAAAAACTGGAACCACCTAATAAATTGCCTAAAATTGAAGGATCATATTAATATTGATTGGTTGCACAGTCAGCCGGATGTTTAAATTAAGTTTGGCATTTATATCCACCTATCATGTCTTTCCGAAGGACCTGGGATAGGTAGATATTGATGTTTAGTGATGTTAAAGGTATCATCGCGGGATATAAAGCTGCCTTTTGCAATTGATTGGTGGTGATTTTTTTTCAGTGCCCCTGGTTTTCAAGTAATATTCCAGCTGTTTTGGGATTGGGATTAGGCAATTAGCTACATTTCCCAATATAATAACAGAAAACCCAACCCCCCCAATCCGACCTTTTGAAATGATTTTGGTTCCCACAGCCCAGAGATTTGTTTAGAGTATCAAAAAATAAACCCCTCTACTTCCCTCCTTCTGTGCTTATGGCAACCTAGAACGAGCAAGATGGCTTCAGCCAGGTTTGTTTTAGAGTTGACAGTCAGATCCCTTAAAGCACGGGTGTCATACTTGCCGTGTCACATAACATGTTGCGACATATCATGACTTTTTTTGCATTGCTGGAGCTGGGGTGGGTGTGGCCTCTGCATGATGCAACCAGCCTGCAGGCTGGCAGTTTGACAACCCTGCCCTAAAGAGAAAGCAAATCCTGCAAGGAAAACAAAAGCATAATTTAGGAATCTGAGAATGTTTATCATAAAATTGCCATATTAGTCAGTCTGCCTTAACGTCCGCACTTTTCACCCACGTAGCTTCCGATAATGGATAACCTTTCCACTGCAGTAAGTACTGCAACTTCCCTTTATACAAACTAGAATCAAGAATGTGTTTGATTTCATAATGGGCTTCTCCTTCAACTATACTGGGACCCGGTGCCTTCTTAGGGATTGGTCGTAATGAGGATTTCCTGGCAGGCTTTAGCAAACTGCAATGGAAAACAGGGTGAATCTTCCCTAATAACCAAGGGAGTTTCAACTCAACTATAACAGGACTTACAATTTTAGTTATGGGAAAGGGACCAAAGAATTTAGATCCTAATATCTTGCTAGGTAATTTAAGCCTTAAATATTTGGTAGATAGGTAGAATTTCTCCCCCACATAAAATGGCCTCTGAGACGATTGCTTCTTATCAGCTTGCTCTTTATACGTTTTTGTGGCTTGGGCTAATGCAGGGGTAGGCAACCTCGGCTCTTTTATGACTCGTGGACTTCAACTCCCAGAATTCCTGAGCCAGCCAAGCTGTGGGGAAAGGGAGAGTTTCCAAGCTGAGCCTTGCTGGCTCAGGAATTCTGGGAGTTGAAGTCCACGAGTCATAAAAGAGCCGAGGTTGCCTACCCCTGGGCTAATGCTTTCTTTACATTAGCCCAAACACCCTGCCATGATGTCACCTAATGGTCTAACATTTGTGAGATGGGGGTTCTTGTGAATATTCAGGCATGGAACAATTTCTCAGCCAGTAGCTACTTTGAATGGGGTAACTCCAGTGCTGCTGTGTACTGTATTATTATATGCCACCTCAGCAAAAGGCAGGAGGTTAACCCAATTAGTCTGTTGGTAGTTAATGTAAAATCTGAAGTATTGTTGCACCATTGTGTTCATGTATTCAGCCGATCCATTAGTGCTCGGATGAAAAGCTGATGAGAGCCCTTGAGTGGACCCAATTAGCTTGACAAATTCTCTCCAGAACCTTATGCCCATCATACTTGTTTAGGGGACAATTTTTGAGGGGTTTTCAGCATTTCTAGATTTTTATGATCAGTCCATACTTCATAAGGCACTTTGCTCCCATCAAGGAAGTGGCCTCAAGTTAGCAGTGCCCATCTCATTGCAAAAGCCTTCTTCTCCCAAACATCCCATCGCCTCTCAGTGTCTGTCAGTTTCCTAGAAGGGTAGCCACAGGGTTGTAGGTCCTCCTTTTGGTTTCTTTGTAGGAGTACTGTTCCCACAGCTACATCACTAGCATCAATTTGGATGATGAATTGCTCCTCAGGGTCAGGGTGTTTGAGAAAAGGTTCGGCTGCAAACAGTCTCTTTAAGTGCTTAAATGCTGCTTGGCATTCCATAGACCAATGTAACAGTTGACAAGGTCGGGGCTTTCCCCCTCCTTTCCCAGTTTTCAGTAGCTCAGTGATTGGCAGAGTTATCTTAGCGAATGAGGGAATGAATTGCCAGTAAACATTTATGAATCCTAGAAAGCTTTGAAGCTACTTATGGGACAGTGGGGGCTGCCATTCCAGCACCATCTTAAAATTGGCAGGGTCCATCTCCACCTCCTCACTGAAAATTCTGTATCCTAGGTAGTCAATGTGGGGCTGATGGAATTCACATTTAGAGAGCTTAGCATAAAGTTTACTCCTCAGCAGCTTCTTGAGTACTTCACGCACTAATTTGACATAATTTTCCATGGTGTCAGTATAAATAAGGATATCATCAAGGTAGACTAAGACTGCCTTGAATAAATGATCATGCAGTACTTGATTGATAAATAGCATAAATATGGCAGGGGCTCCTTGGAGACCGAAAGGCATAAACTTAAACTGGAAACTTCCCAGGGGCTATTGAAAGTTCTTTCCCATTCATCCCCCTCCTTAATCTGCACCTATTTTCTTGGTACGTACAGTCTGTCAAAGTCCCAGTGAGGATTTCAATGGGAGAGTCAGTCACCTGGTGTGGGGGGAGCACATCACATTCCTTTTCACTAAATACCTCCACCAAGTCTCGATATTCACTCGGTATCAATTGAATTCCTGGTACATACTCTATGATGGCTTTTAGAGTCTCAAGAATTTCTTGGGTCTCGGTTGTGGCAGGCCCCTGTACTTCGCTGATCGATGTGGGTGGAAGGGGTCCCATTGCTAACCTTAGAGTCCTGACTCCATCCTCCCACCAAATCATGGGACACCACTTATTGAGCCAGACCAACCCTAGGATTACAGTCTCAGTCACCTTAGGAACCACTACAAAACAGATAATTTCCCAGTGTCTGCCTATGGTCAGGTGCGTGGCAGGGGCTCCTCCAATAAGAGACCCATATGCTTGTTCAAATTTCATGGCCAGGGGCATTAGCTTGGCATGGATCCCTAACTTTAGTACTGTAGGGAGATTGATTAAGCATCTGGTGCAACCTGGGTCAATTAGGACATTTAAATCTGCTTGGACACCCATCTTGGGTACTATGATTTTGGCAGAGATTGTGAAAGGTGAGATGGGTTGACTTACTATTGGGTCATCTTCTCCCTCCTCATTGCTGTTATAAGGAGCTGGAACCCTCTCAGCTGGGCTTCTGGGCTTGCAGGTGCCAGTCTCGCTTGGGACTTCACCTAGGTGCTGGGCTTGATGCTGAAGCTGGCCGAGGTTGTAGGGAAGCTGCCCTGGCTATTGCGACTGGGCTTGGGCTCCGACAAGGTGGCAGGAGCGTCAGTGAGCATCTAGTGTCCCGTCCGGCAGAGATCACAGAGTGAGCAATCAGCTGCATCTCCCCAA